TACACACATATAAAGTAATTATTAGTAAAGAATAAGCTACAAGTTTAAGGAGGGAAAAGATGGCATTTCCCATAAAGTTCTCCAAATCAATATTTATTTTTCTGCATTCTTTTATTGTCTCTAAATTGGGGGGGTGGGGATAGCAGTAGAGAAAAATGAGCTATATTACTCTCTGGTCCTTTTCCCTCAATAAATTTAATTAATCTTCAAAGCTGTCCCCTCCACTTACTATATCACAGGAATTTACCCTGCATAAATGGTAGCAAAGCTAACAGAACATAGCTCTTTTGCTATGATTTTCAATAATTTTTTTTCAACAGGTACTTCTATGAGTGTGAAACAGGAGGAAATGATTTGCAAGTAATTGGGGAAAGAGGTAGTGGCATTTAACATTCATATTTCAGAGATTCAGGATGAATTTTAAGTACTAAAGTCCAGGGAATGTGACACTTGGAAAGTTCTGCAGTCTTAACTCATTATCTTTGGGGCTGGAGATACACTGGGCAGGCAAGAGCCTGATAACCCTTACAGAAGACAGAAGGGAAATTGAGATTGCATTTCTGTCTGCATGTTAAGGGAAGATTAATGACATTAAGGCAGAGGTAGAGGCTGTCAGTAGTTTGCTCATCCCCTCAATTACTCCCTAGTACTCTAGTAGGAATACCAGACTCCATGTTCAGTGTTACCATTACTTATCCTGGAATGGGTTAAGTATTTTCATTAGAAAACCTTCAGCTAGAAAAGGTGATTCTTCTTTCAAAGACAAAATGAGTAGAAATTGAGAGAATGGGGAAAGGTTGAAGGAGTCAAAGAGGTCCAGCTACAGAACATGCTGTTACACCTACAATAATAAACGTGTAATATGCAAATTGACCGAATGGTCGAGCAGCGGCTCTTGCACGAATTTCATGCCTAGGGCCTCTGTCTAGGTCAGCCGTGGGCAAACTACGGCCCGCAGGCCGGATTCGGCCTGTTTGAAATGAAAAAAACTAAAAAAAAAAAAAAAAAAGACCATACCCTTTTATGTAATGATGTTTACTTTGAATTTATATTAGTTCACACAAACACTCCATCCATGCTTTTGTTCCGGCCCTCCGGTCCAGTTTAAGAACCCATTGTGGCCCTCGAGTCAAAAAGTTTGCCCACCCCTGGTCTAGGTACTCAAGTCCCACTGTTAGATAAATAGCAGCAGCAGACTGCCCTGGCCGGTTTGGCCGTGGGCCTGCAGACCCAAGGGTCCCCCGTTCGATTCTGGTCAAGGGCAGGTACCGGGGTTGCAGGCTCCTCCCTGGTGCGAACAGGATGACAACCATCCATGTGTTTTTCTCACATGGATATTTCTCTCTGTCCCTCTCTCTTCCACTGTCTAAAAATCAATGGGAAAATATCCTCGGGTGAGGATTAAAAAATAACAATAGCAACAGCAGATAAACCTGCCTTTTGTATGGTACTTTGCCCACTGCAAAGTCCGTTCACACCCACTGCTCTGCAGCAGCCACCAACTCCCACCGCACGCGTCCCCGCGCTGCCCGAGGCCCGTGGACCACATACCTGCGTGTACTTGCGGAAAAACACCCCTTGCACCTTCCCAAAAACCTCATAATCCACCGATATCAGGGTGTCCCCTTCGGCCATGTTCATGCTCGAACCTGTCAGACGCCAGGGAAACAGAGAAGTAAGTAGACGGGACTCGTTATCCTCGACCAGAACCCACAATCGGGGCAGAAAGGCCACCCCACACCCTCGACGCGGCGACCTCTCCCTGGCCTGCCCCCGAACCCCAGGAAACCCCAGGGCATGCAAGCGGGTCCCCGAAAGCGCGGGCCGCGCAGTAACAGGAAGGCGCCGGGGAGTTTGGGTCGCAACTGCCCACGGAGGCCTCTGGGGACCATTCCCTTCCATCCAATTCCCTTCCCACGACGTCCGCTCGCTCGCCATCCCTCCCGCTTCCCACGGACCTCGCTTCCACACGCCCCGGATTCCTCGCCCACGAACACCTCATAATCCACCGATATCAGGGTGTCCCCTTCCGCCATGTTCATGCTCGAACCTCGCTTCCACACGCCCCGGATTCCTCGCCCACGAACATCTACGGCCAATGGAACTGAGGGCCCACCCGGGCCGGGCTCACCCTCCTGGCCTTCCGGTCCGCAGGCCGGCGGCATAAGCGGCCACCGACCACCGACCTCCGACCGCCACACCAACGGCTCCCCCCTCGCAGGCTCCCTTCTGATGGGATTCTGTGCCTCGACCCACCACTCAGAGTGAAAAGAAAGAACCATCCTCCCCCAAAACCCTTTCTCAAGGGGCCTTAGAATTAGTTTCTATGGAATCCAGAAAATGTGTCCAGAATAAAGAAGTGTGTAAGTATCACAAAGGTAGGGGAGAGCCTTCCCAGGCAAGAGATGATCTCAAAATTACATGGGACCAGCAGAAGCACCTTGGTAGAGGGTAAGAATGAGATTGATTAGCAGAGGCAAGAAGAAGCAGGTGGAGATAGACAGCACATACTCTGGATGTGACGAAAGCTAAAAAGAGGGGTTCTTCTAAGTAGAATGGGTGAGCAAAAGTTTTCTGTTCTCCTATGAATAACCCTGCCAGCTGAGTGGGGGATTTCTGCAGTGGTGACGAGCTGGCTCTGGCTGGTGAGAGCTGATTGTGTACCTCTCTTCCCAACTCCACATTCTGTGATATCTGACAGGTGGCTGAGATGAGTCTTGGTAGAATTATGTAGTGTTTATATCATAGAAATATGCAAATGATGCAAATCAGAGCCTGCTTTTTAAAAAATACTTCCAGAGAACTGGATTTTAAGTATTTGTGAACATGCCATTGGCTCCTAGACTCTTTGGTAATAGAAATCAGAAATTCACATGTTGAACTGCATTTTGTTTTCTTTCGAGCTCTTGCACATCTGTCAGTGTGCTTTCTGACAGCGAGACTGGCATGACCTCCCTCAGAGTGATGGAAGGCGTCTGTCTCATTAGACTACCAGGGCCCAGTATTTGATTGAGTCTGAATCAGGCATTTCTGCCGTGGGGACGTGCTCCAATTCCAGAATAACCCTGGCATGAACTTAGGGCCCTGGACATTTTGTTGCTTCTAAACTGCCAGATTGTTTATCTGGGGGTGAGGAGGTTATAGAAAAACAATAGTGTTGCCCTTCCTGAATTTTACTGCAAGTTGAGAAAGTCTGTGGCTGCTAGTCAGCCTTACACTGGTCTCTCGGGATTATTTCTGAATTTCAGCACTATTTAAAGAAACTCAAAGCCCTAAAAATTTTGTATGAGTTTGATGAAATGTAATGTGACACAAATCAGATTTTTCCAGGACCACAAACCGAAGTATGTACTGGCTCGGCACACAGCTATTAAGCATGTTATCATAATGTCATTTAAATATTGAAAAAAAATCACTGCTACTTGTAAATGAAAGACTCACATGGACAAAAAAAATAAATGTTTGTCTTTCTTAGAGAAAGTCTGCAGGACCCAAAATAACTCTAGTATTTTCATACAGTGAGAAACCACATGTATTTGAAGTAAAGAAGAAAATAGCACCCTTTGTTGATGAGAGGGGAAATCACTGCTGAACAATATGTGTATCTGCACTGGAGGCAAGTAGCCTGTGGTGTGTGACAGCCTCTAGCTGAGCAGAGGCTTATGAAGTGGATGTCATATTTTGGAAGAAGAAACAAGAAAGTCGCTGGTTTACTTATGGACCCAAAATGCTTTAATAGATAGAGCATTGCTAAGGAGTAATGTAATGTAACTAAAACACACAATGATTGTTACTAGAGGTTCCCGGAGCATTGGCAATGGGAGTACTCACGTTTGTATTTGATTGCACCATCATATGTGTCTTTGAGTGGCCTGTGAGTAATCAAGGTTCCCTGAGATTTCGTACTCTAGGAAGTCTCCAGTGCTGGAGAGGGGGTGGTGTCAAAATGGGCACTTGTTGGTTATCCCTGCCTGCCATTGAGCCACATACACTTCTTCCAAACTCAGAAGGTGATGGGGCAGCATGTGATGGAAGCCAAGGGAAACCAAGCATCTGAATATATTTATATACCCAGTTATTTATCTTCATTGGCTTACTTAAAAAAGTTGTAAGGAAGTTAAAAAATACAAGATGCAATACATTTAAGGTAGTAAAGATTAACTGAGGCAATGAGAACAGTCAGGGTGAGGAATATTAGCGAGACACAGTTCATGTCCATGTTCACCGGAAATGGAGCACACACGAAACTCTAAGCTCTCGAGTAACCATCACTGAAGGCAAAGCATGATTGGCTCCATGTCTTAGAATGGCCATAACAGCAAAACAGAGCAATTACTCAGCAAAAGCAGAGCTCTTCCTGCCACTAAGTAAGATTTCTCCTCTGGGCCCCCTTACCGAGGACACCTTATAGAATACCAAGTGGAATTCTCAAAAGCATCCTTAGAGCAAAGTTGCTATGAGGTCTTTGCAGGGCCCTCTCTCAGAGTGGTTCTTGATGTGAGCTGATGCCATTGCACCAAATGTAATTCAGGAAGCAAATATCCCTGGGCAAGGCCACTGTGATGAATGCAGGCACAGAACTTTCTGATACCCTAGCTTAATGCAGGAGCACATTTTAGAGTTTTTAGCAGAATGGACAGACAAAACAGATAGACTGAATATCCTTTACAAACATAAAAAACATATTTCTCAGATGAAATTTTGATAAATATAAGGGGATATGCTATATATGCCAGGTCCCTTGAAACATACGCTGTGCAGATGTTTCTTCCCTGCAGCGACTGTGTCAAGCAGCAAGGATGGACCGGCTTCCGGCAAATACGATCTTTTTAAAATGCCAATACCCAGGTCTCATCCCCAGAAATTGCTTCCCAGGTAGCACTAAAGCACAGCCAGGGCGGAAATCCACCGGACTAGACTCTCAGGGGGCAGGGCTTGAAAGGCAGGCTGGAGGTTGAAGTACCAGGTTAAAATTACACATCCCGACTTTATTCCAAGGGCAAAGCAGAAGCCTCTGGGTAGGAGAGTGATAGGATCAGGTGTATTTAGGATAATTATTCTGAGAGCAGCATGAAGGATGGGCTTGAAGGTAAGAATTGCAGTTAGGATAACGATGATTGCCGTCCCAAAGAGAAGTGAGGAAGAACTGGTTAAGGCAGTAGACATGTACAGGAAGAGTCATATATGAGACATTGCAGAGTAAACTCAACAGAGCCTGCTGATCAGTTGCAGTGGTTCTCAACCTTCTGGCCCTTTAAATACAGTTCCTCATGTTGTGACCCAATCATAAAATTATTTTCGTTGCTACTTCATAACTGTAATGTTGCTACTGTTATGAATCGTAATGTAAATATCTGATATGCAGGATGGTCTTAGGCGACCCCTGTGAAAGGCCAAAGGGGTCGCGACCCACAGGTTGAGAACCGCTGAAGAGGGAAGGGATGACAAAGAGGGAAGAGTAGAAGGTGACTGGTGCTTTCAGTATGAGAGGGAACACTGGGGAAAAAGTGGATTGAGGGAATGAGGAGATGACCACGGATTTGTTTTCTGTCGTATTCAGTTCGAGATTCCTGAGGAACTAAATGGGAAGTTGGAAATCTGAGTCTGTAACTAAGGAGAGAGAGCTAAGCTGGAGATCATTGAAACATAGGTGATACCTGAAATGGCGGCATTTGGTTGAAACCACTAAGGAAGAGAATGTCTGGACCTGCATTTATGTCTGAGAAATAAGAGGGCTTTGGAGAACACCTAAACTTGGGGGGCAGGTGAGGAAAAGACAAATGCCAGAAGACAAATGAAGAAGCCAGGGCAAGAACATGAAAGAAGAAAACAAGAAGGCACAGGAGCAAGTGAGAAGAGAGTTCCAAAGGAGTGAAAAATCAATAATATCAAATAAGTAGCTGAAGAAGTAGGAGCTTTTGTCTTTGGTCCTTGGATGGCAGTTAATAAAGTGGAAAGAGTGGAAGCCACACCACAACAGACTGGACAATGAGGGGGAGATGAGAGAGCAAATGTAAAGTTTTCTACCAAGAAGTTGTGGAGAAGAGGAGAAATGAATGGAACCGTAAATAAAAGGCAGCAGGTCAAGGGAAATAAGGTTTGTTTTGCATACAGGGGTGGGCAAAAGTAGGCTTACAGTTGTAATACAAATAAATAATACAATCTATACTAATAAAAGGGTAATATGCTAATTAGACCAGGAGACCTTCTGGGAGACCTTCCAGACATCCTTCCAGATAAAGCCATGGTGGTGGGGCTGAGGCAGAGACAGTTAGGGGTGATCAGGCCAGGAGGAGAGGGCAGCTGGGGGTGATCAGTCTGGCAGGGGGGCAGTTGGGGGTGATCAGGCTGGTGGGGGGGCAGTTGAGGGTGAGCAGGGGGGCAGTTGGGGGTGATCAGGCTGGTGGGGGGGCAGTTGAGGGTGAGCAGGGGGGCAGTTGGGGGTGATCAGGCTGGTGGGGGGGGCAATTGGGGATGAGCAGGCCAGCAGGCAGAATGGTTAGGGGTGATCAGGCAGGCAGGCAGGTGAGCAGTTAGGAGCCAGCGGTCCCGGATTGCAAGAGGATTGCCGGCAGTCGGACATCCCCTGAGGGGTCCCAGATTGGAGAGGGTGCAGGCCCGGCTGAGGAACACCCCCCCACCCCCGTGCACAAATTTTGTGCACCGGGCCACTAGTACTTAGTAATACAAGAGCAAACTGTTTCATGTACTCACCACTGTAAACCTACTTTCGCTCATCCCTGTATGTGGATAGATACAACTTGAAGTTAACAAGATGGACTCCATTCCCGAAAGGGACTAATTCAAGGAAACTTATGGCAAGAGAAAGGTTCTTCATCCCCAGAAACAAGAAAGAAGGAAGTCAAGTTGGAGAGAGGCACCCTAGGAAATTCTGCCAGACTGGAAGGGAGCTACTTGAGTTGATGACAGGCAGGCCTGCTTGCTCAGATAATTGGAACCTTAAGAAGAGTGGGAAATGTCTGGGACTGCATAGAGAGAAGGCAGTAGAGAGAGAGTCAACTAGGGAAGAAAACAAAGAAATTAAAAAAAAAAATGCCCTGGAGGACCCACCAAGGAATTTCCTTGTAATATGTAAAAGCTGTCATATGACATGTTGAAGTGGTAACACCGCCTGCTGCTGTCTATACTGTGTTCCATGTGCGTGAATCTTGTAAGTAGTTACAGGAAAAAAGTTGCCTGTTCCAAGCAGCTTACACCAATGACCTGAAGCACGAGGCAAATAAACTCTTCTGATGTTAACGAGCCATAGAATACCATTTAGTGTTGAAACCAGGTTACACCGATCCTTTTTGATCTGGTAGTTAACTTTATTATCATTACGTGTGGTGGAGTCATTCTTGGGCCCTGAGCAGAGACTGCCAGAGGTTCCACGTGAGAGTAAAACACTCTATCAAAATCATGAGATTGGCTAGAAAACTACCCCAGAAAAGACACAGCCTAGCGAAGCCAAACTGCTAAAATGTGACCGCAATTCTGAACTATAGCCGAGAAAAGCCCGAGAGAAACCGCATTGCCACACCTGGGCCCGCACCCGGCAGCCCGCACCCCCTAAGGGCGCGGACCTCGGAACCTGCGGCGCCAGGACTCGGGGGCAGAGCGACGGGCTCCTGCTTCGGCCACGGACGGGCACGCCCCGGGGTCTGGGGTCACTGCTCTCAGACAAATACAAGTTTTTTGACGAAGCCCCAGAAAAGCCTCTCCCATCCCCTCCCCTGTTCCCCAAGGGCACGGAGCGGCAGAGTTGGCGGGACACCGGGTCAAGGGACAGTCAGACCAACCGCAGCCGCCCCGGGGACGCTCCCCTTCGTGTTCTGAC